GCTCGAGGGGGCCTACCGCCTCTAGGTGGCATCATGCTGGAGGGGGCCTCGTGCCTCTAGGTGGCCTCATGCTCGAGGGGGCCTCACGCCTCTAGGTGGCCTCATACTCGAGGGGGCCTCATGCCTCTAGGGCGCCTTACGCATCTCGGGCAACTATGCTGCCAATATTATTTGTGAATATTGAAATATTTTTCTCAATTTAATTTTCTTTGAAGATGAAAGTGACGAGTTTTTTTTTTAACAAGGTGGGTTTTTTCCATTCTTTAATCAGTTCAATTTTTTGGCACTAGCTTAAAAAAATTATTTTTTTTTAATAAGTTATAAATTTTGATCTTAAAAAATATCCATTCATTAGAGGAGGAGTAAGAGTCATTCAAAGGGCACCAGACGTTCCTCATTTAGTAATTTAAATGAAGAAAGTTATAGCAGTTAAAAATTACAAACTAACTTTTTAAGTCTCTGGATTTGTTGGGAAATTCATGCTGTCTAATTTTCCCTCAGAAAAATCCCCTATTAATAAATAGATGACGTCATTTGTAAATGTTTCCTTTATTCTTTTCTTAAAGAATTATTTATTTTCTAATATATTTTTTTAAAACCTGTTTTAAATAGCCATTCAAAATATGTATATTTTTTCTACAAAAACACTTTCCAAAAATGTAATAAAAATATAATTAATGTCTCCCAGAACTTTAGAGTTTTTACAGTCGTATGAGCTTGACTCAAAATGCGTGTAGGCACCCATGAAGTATACAACGATGTCGCATGGCTAGACAAATTATACAATGTTGGACGCATTTTTATTATCGTGGAAATATGACTTCCCACAAATGTCTTGCATCACTGTCGTATGCTCACATTCACATCACTCGTGATCTTGCCAAGGGGAATGAACTGAGCGATACCGCTGGGTGCGTGTCTTTATCTGCAAAGAACATTGAGTTCATTTGGCACCCAAACCTTTTCTTGAAAAAATCATATGACGTCAGTACATTTTGGACAAGCGTGGGTTCTTGTTTTTTTACGCATATTTTTATAAAGTTTATTTTGTACTTTTTAGTCTTGGAAAATAAAAGATCAGAAAGTTGGTTGAAACATATGACTAAAACGCGTGGGGCGCCCATGACATATATGCACGTGAACAGGCAGCGGTGACCTTTGGTGACCTCCATGTGGTAAAATTTTGTTGTTATTGATTGTTATCGGGTCCCAGTAACGACGTACAAAGAAACGCTGTCGTGAAAACCCCGACGTCCATATCACTTTCCGTTCCCGAGATATCCGCAGGGGTCTCTCAGGGGGTCAGTGGAGGTCACTGGTGACCTGCCGATCATGAAGGGCTGTATTGTCATCAGGGGTGGGTAAGTGTACAAGGTTTCAGTTCAGCTGGACATAAGCAAGTTGGTCAACTTAAGAAAAACCGTTTCAAATCTATGAATTTGTTTCACATCGTTTAAAAATGTACACTTTTTGTCATTTCTTTATTTTTGATGGGTTTTAAAGTACTACTGAGAAAAACAGGCACACAAAATCTGACGGATCTTTGGTGCGAGCGAATCGCGTGGAGCAGAGTTTGGCCTGCGAAGGTTGTCAGGAGAAGCTCTCGACATGCAACAAATCTAGCAGCTCTAAAACTCCCGCCAAAACTAACAGCAATAAAACTCTCGCCAAAACCAGCAGCACTGAAACCCCCGCCAACACTAGCAGCACTGAAACCCCCGCCAAAACTAGCATCACTGAAACTCCCGCCAAAACTAGCAGCACTGAAACTCCCGCCACAATACCCACTCCGAAACTCCCGCCAAAACTAGCAATTCCGGTACTGAAACTGTCACATCTTGTACGCTTGCATGCGTTTGTCAATCAACAGTTGCCACATAAAACTCAAACGGATAATATTTTGGGCATTTATTTTAGGGAATGTGTCTCTCCGCATGATGAGCGTCAATGGTGACCGTGTTTTTAAAAAGATGGAAGAACCTTCTGGAGAAAATGAGCGTGATTCTCATTATATATATCGATCAGACTTCCTCTTTCATAGACACACTACATCTCCATAACGTGGTCGATCAGACTTCCTCTTTCGTTGTCACAATTCATCTCCATAACGTGGTCAATCAGACTTTCTCTTTCGTAAATAAACACAATACACTTCCGTAACTTGCTAACAATCTGTCACAAATCTTGCGCCCCCCCCCCCTTTTTCTTGTTTTTTCTTCAAAGTACGTTACACTCTCACATTTAAAAATTGTCGAAAAATTAACAACTAAATAAAATTCAATCGAAAAAAACAAAAAACCACTTCAATATAAAACTATTAGATTTATTTTAAAAAATTAACTTCAACGCACTATCATGTTATTTAGGGTGGAGGTACACCGAGAAGAATGAATAAAATCCGATTTTATAATTGGCAGTAACTACTGACTGACATCACATAATAAAGTGTATTAATTTCTGCAAATTTATGTGTACTTATTTTTTAAAATATAATTTAGATGAAATAGTTCTTGAGATCTGAATGTATCAGCATTTGGAACAAAATAATAATAATAATAATAAAACCGTCGGATCTTTCATGAATTAATTATTTTAAAACAATGAAGATCTCCCAAATAATTGTT